GAACTTATCTCGATCTTCCTACTCTATATAGAATAGGTTGGTTACCTACAACTCCCCAATATGCCAAAAATAGCCAGTAATGGGGGAGGGCGGAGGATTGGAGAAGAAGACAGATTTCACTATCTCAAAAGAAACTGTAGGATTTAAATAGAAGATCAGTTGTCTGTGGGCGTTGAGTCATTAAGTAAAGGAGATATCGATTGATGACACATCTCAAATAAAAGATTATATATTTCGAAGTAAATATCATAACATCAACTTCATTATCACCGAAACTAATATTTGTCCTTAAACCCTAAATAAAGTATCCTTCGAGCTTTACGGTCCGATAAATTTTGTCCCCTTCATATCCTCAACCTCCAGTTCCGGTACCGATCCTATTTCGAAGATTAAATTAGCAATTAAATAAATTAATTACATAATATTTTTCAGATTTTTAGACTACCAACTACCTCACTATAACACACCATGCATAGATCTCACCTATTTCATGTACCTCGGCATCCAGCCTCCAGTTCGTCGAAGCAATTACGAACTCCTGGTGAAGACTTACCACGACTCCTTGGTCAGATCTTTGGACAAGTTCGGTTTCACTGGTACCAAGCCAACTCTTGAAGATATAACCGACACAATGAAGCGACTCGAGTTCTTCGGACTGTGTTTTTTTGCAGGAACATACTCGGCTATCATTTGTTCATCGACAGAGGCTTTTGACATGGAGAAAATTCTATTAACTGACGGAGAAGAAGGATTCAATGAAGACATTTTAAGAGAGCCTGGAATGATTGAAACCTTGGGGCCAGATATCATTGATTTTGTCGAGAGGCATGTTCCTGGGCTACATTAAGTTATTATCAGTATTTCAATTCTGTGGTTTTTGATAAATTATTCTTAAGTAGATATAATAAATAAATATATATATAATTTCCATTTAGATCACATTATTACATCATTAAATTTACATCTGGAAAATATTATGTAATGATGTAATAATATTTTTCAGATGTAAATTTAATGATGTAATAATGTGATGTAAATGTAAATTATAAAAAGTATCTTACGAATAAGTAGTGTGCTAAGTAATTTATAACATAATATTTGTAAATAATATCTAGCATTAAATGATTAATTTCTTTGTTGATAATTATTAAAAGATGGAATATCCTTTAATTTATCCATTTCAATTCAATAAGACTTGAAAAACTAACTAGATGATATTGCAACAGACGTTGAAGTTCGCATATCCTCTACGAGATATGAGTAAGTTAAACAACGCTGAGCGTGGCTAGCACTTGGATGGGTGACCGCCCGATTTTTGGTGACCGTCCAGCATTCACACTGTCACAATTAATGACATTTATAATAGTGTTCAGAGGGCACATTCACACTCTATCAACAATAAATAATAAAGAAAGAACAATAATACTAAAAGTAAATATATATAAACTAAACTAAACAAAAAGAAACTAAAATAATAAAAATAATTACACACATGCTACTATACAATATAAAAAAATAGAGTAGAGGCTGATCAGAGGCGCTATCGTCACACATACATGGCTTGAGTGGAGAATCTGGCCGATGCCAAAACTCCAATGTATACTTATTCACAAAAGTTCTCTGGGCCACTTCTGCTTCAACCTTCGAGGAGAATTGCAGGGATGGGTGGTGCTGAATGGGGGTCGTGCAAGGGGATTTGGATGATAGGTAAGATTTTGGCGAAATATGGAAAATTTTTCTGGAATAAGGTCTAAGACAAAGGGGATATTAAGGTCATGGTATAGGGTTCTGTTGGTTACATAGAATGGAGCATCAAGTATTGTTCGAAAGACTTTAGACTGGAAGGATTGGATGTATTTGAAGTTTTTTTGAAAATTTTGCTGTCCCCCACAGTTCAAGTCCGTATGTCCACATACGGTTTCAGAATTGTCTTGTAGATAAGTAATTAGTTTTCAATTGAAAGTTTAGATTTTCTGTTCAGTAATCTGTATATTTGGCCGTATCGTCGTTGAGTTCTTGCCTATTGAGTCTAGTATGTGGGTTCCATGTTAATCTTCGGTCTAAAAGAAAGCCAAAATACCGGAATGTTTCTGAGAAAGGTAGCAGGATGGAATTAAACTGTACTCGTGGGCAGGAGTTTCATCGGAGTTTGTAGGTAATATGTTGGCATTTGGATTCATTCACTATAATACGCCAGCTATTACGCCAGTGCTCAATCAAGGAGAGGCGTCTTTGCAAATTTGAGGAGGTTATTTCGGGATCAGAGTTGGATGATAAGTTTGTAGTATCGTCAGTGAATGTTTCAAGGAAGGTATCGGGATGGACAGGGATGTCAGCGGTAAAGAGGATGTAAAGCACGGGACCCAAAACGCTGCTTTGGAGAACACCGTCTTTAACGGGATAGATATCGGAAAATTCTGTTCGACAGCGAACTCGAAAGGAGCGGTAAGAGAGGTAGGTACAAGGACTGAAGTAAATGGATTTTAAGCTTGAAGAGCAATCTGGCGTGCCATACCCGGTCAAATGTCTGTGCAATGTCCAGAAATGCACCCGAACAGTATTCCTTGTTTTCTAGGGCTGAGGAAATATGATCAACATCTCGGAATCCTAGTTGAACAATAGAATGTTGGGAACGAAAACCAAACTGATGGGAAGGAAGATTTTGGGATTCTATAAGAGGTAAGATTTGTTTTAAAAAGATTTTTGAAAGAATTGGGAGTAGGCTAATAGGATGCCAAGCTGTTAGGAGGTTTGTCTGGTTTTGGGTATGGGATAATAGTAGAATGTATCCACAATAAAGGGAAATGAGAAGTGCGTAGAATGCAATTTAGATATATGTAAGGAATATGACTGATTTGGATGGAAGTTGTTCAAGGATCTGGGGGGAGGAACTGGGGTAAGGAGATCACATCCAGCAGATTTACGAAGGATTAGTTTTTGGAATTGGAATTTCACTTCGGAAGGATGAATGTATTCAGGAACGAGGGAGAGAAGGATAGTTTATGTAAGGGATTCTTCGACAGATACGGTGTGGGTAGGATGGGATTCCTAGGTAGGTGGGATGGAGAAGACATGTATTGGAGTGATGTTTGGCAAACTTCTAGGCCTTATCTTCTTCAGATGCTGCCCAGAAGGGCTCATCTCTCCGGAGGGGATGGGAAATCAGGTGAGGTTTTAGGATTGTCTTAGTGGTTTTCCAAAGTCAATTGTCATGAACACAGAGGGAGGACAGGTAGGAAATAAATGATTCGGATCTATAGGATGCTAATTCCCGATTTAGTTTTTTACAGTGGTAATTATAAAAGGAACAGCGATCAGCGGGATGTTTTGTATATTTCCATACTGATCTGGGACGTTCTTTCATATGGATAAGATCTAAGAGGTAATGAAGTAAATTGTTTTGCATAAGATTTCTTGGGGAGTTGCTTGAGTAGAAGGTAGTCCAGGCGGCTTGTTAGATTGATGTAGTAAAGGAATTGACAGCAATGTCAAGGTCGTCAGGAGTTTTGAGCGATATATATCTATTTTGTTGGAGAGGATTTGGCGGAATAGGCTATAGTTAATGGGGCTTATGAATGAAGTCGGAGAAGGTTCGAGGCCGGGTACATGAGAAACATTAAGAATTAATAGACTAGGAACTGAACTGAACTAATAGACTAGGAACTGAAGAAGACCTGCAAAGTTGGATCGAAACGTCGGCTTTCAATAAAATGGTTTACCACAATTTAGCCTATTTATGACCGCCACCCCGGACCATCTCCTTCCTTTATAATGCAACGGTCAACTATTAAATATTCAATATTCACTAATTTCATTTTCTAAAAGGTTGCATGATGATTTTCCGAAATAAACGGACGATAGATACCTAATTGTTTAAATAAAATATCAGATCTAGAGTTATTAAACTACAGTAAGTATATTTAAGATTATCAATGTATGCATGAAATATTTTTATATTTCACTCCTTCTTTTACACAAGTACAGTGAAATAGTATTTTAAACAATGTCATTGCATTCGTTGGATTTTAAAAACTTTTTTTTCAATCTTAAGAAAACATTTAAAGTTTATATTAAATAAGAAAATGCGATTTACACTAAATAATGTTAGTTTACTGAAATTATCATTTATAATTTTTTTCGCCACTCTAAGTTACCTTCTACAACTTTATTTGTTTAAATTATTATTTCTAAAATTCTCCCCTTTCCAACGATATATTATACGTATACCTCCAGACTATAATTCCGGAGATTCATTTTCGATTTGTATAAGCATTTTCCTTTTTTTCTCCTTTCTTCAATTATCAAATTCTTTTAAAAGCTATATTTAGCATTTTTTCATAACTCTTAATAATGCGAGATGATTAATTATTTTTAAATAAACCATATTAAAGGTACTTTAGAGGAAGACTCATATGAACATTGGACATCTAAGCCCTGTAAAGTGACATCAATGGGGATAAGACCTGATTTATATTAAAGACCACTTAATTATACAATGATACAAAAAGTTTAATCAAAATCGTTCGAGCTGTTTTTTGAGAACATTGTAAAAATGTGTTAAAGCGTATAGGACACTTAGCAACTTTTTAAGAAAAATGTTGCTATCACATCTAAGGCATATACACAAATATCTTAAATAAGATATAAGGCATATCTTAAATACATAATATCAGTTTTGTACGAAATTTCGTTTTCAAGCTAGACTACACACACACACACACACACACACACACACACACACACACACACACACACACACACACACACACACACACACACACACACACACACACACACACAGACCGTTTTGTGAAACTTGGTTATTTGGACTAAGGGTACATCAAAACGTGTATTTCCGTAGAAAACTTAGATTTGAAAATTTTCCCGATCGCGATACTTCCCCTTACTGTATATTACATATTTAAAACCATTCAACTCCATATTGCCTTAATTGATTAGATTAGCTTATTTAAGATAAGGCATAGTGGTGCAATTGATTTTAAATGTCCTTATATAACATCTTGAGAGCAATCCAGTATTGCCCTTGAATGAAATTATACTGCTCTATTTGCTTTTACATCAGCCATTCAGTGATATATACTCCGGGTGCAGAGGCGTTTGGCAGTCGTAGTGTCGAAGAATCTATCCGAAATTAAGGTAGGAGTATTTTTTACAATTGCTTTGTAATTTGACTTACCTATATATGTAATATAATAGTAATGGAAAGTATTGCGATCGTGAAAATTTTTGAAAACGAGTTTTCAACGAAAACACACAGGGGAGATCCCCTGTTAGTATTGCTCAAATGCGAGACCGAGACGAGTCTTGGTCTATTTCTTGTGCAATAGTCTCGCAACGGTCTTGCAGTTACCTACTAGTTTAGTATTATAGAGATATTACTGTATTTTTTTAGATAGGAGGAACCTAACTAAGCCCGAATGAAAAATGATAAGACTTAAATGCAAAATTATATTGGTTATACCAATTCTTTAAATATAGTATCTAAAATTAATTGTTATTTAAAAAATCGATTTTTTGCCAGTCTTGAACTTGGTCTTGGTACAGTGAGGCGGTCTTAGTCTTGGTCTTGCAAAGTGCAAGACCAAGACCGATTTTGGACAACTCTAGTCCCCTGAATCCAAATTATTGTGCCTTGCAAAATGGTCTGTGTGTATGTGAATAGTGTACCTCAAAACCGAAAAGTCGTACGTAACTGAAATTGGGTATTTAAGGTTTTTATACAGTTCTGATGTGGCAGCAACGTTTTCGATAAAATCGGCTAACCGTTATTGCCACTGTATACAATTCTATAATGTTTTTATACAATTTTCTAAAAAAACGACTCTAATGATTTTGATTAAATTCGGTGTTTCATTATATAATTAAGTGGTCTTTAATATCATTTACACATACAGAGCTCAAATTCCCAATGTTCATATACGTCTTCCTCTAAAATACCTTCCATATGGTTTATTTTTAATAATTAATCATCGCACATTTTTAAGAATTAAGAAAAAATGCTAAATATAAATTTTAAAAGAATTTGATTATTGAATAAAGGAGAAAAAAAAAATCCTAACCAGTTTGAAAATGCATCTCCGGAAATAACAGTCAGAAAGCATACGCACAGTATATCGTTGGAAAGCGGAGAATTTCAGAAAAAATAATATTAAATAAATAAAGTAGTAGAAGGTAACGGAGAGTGATGAAAAAAATATAAATAATAATTTCCGAAAACTAACATTATTTAATCTAAATCACATGTTTCCAAAGAAATTAAATGAAATTTTCTTACTAAATGTAAACTTTAACTTTTTGTTTAAGTTTGAAACAAAAACGGATTCAATGATGCTGTTTAAGACACTATTTCATTGTACTTGTGTGAAAGAAGAAGTAAAATATAAAATTTCATAGATATATTTATAACCTTAAATATATTTACTGCAGTTTAATAAATCTAGATATGATGTTATTTTTAAATAATTAGGTATCTATTGGCCGTTTATTCCAAAAAATCATCAAGTAACCTTTTTGAAAATTAAATTAGTGAATAATTTGATGAATCTTCCCTTCGTGAAATCGCAACATAGTGGACCTTTCACATTCCACTGCCATAATATTATTAACAATTATTTAGAATAATTTTAATTATTAAATGCAATTCAATGAAATTTATATTAGGAAATTTCAATACCATTCTCCAAATTTCCTCCAAGTTTAGGTCAAATTGAACGTGCAGTTTGCAAGTCAATAATTGCTAGCCAAAATTGTTAGCTGATCCGAAAGCAAAAGTATTTTTTCTAGGAGAAGTCGATAGAATTTGATAAAATTCATACCTACTTGATTATCTGTTTACGAATCCCTAACATCCCTCCAAATTTGTGCCGAATCGAACATGGATTCAGAGCACCTGATTTTTTTTTAACCTCTCACACGAAGATAATGCTTCCCTACCTTTATTTTAGGAGTGATAACACTAACATAACATAAACATTTTTGTCTAGTTCTTAGTCTTCTTTTTTTTAGTTTTATGTATTTATGTATATTCGATAAATTTTAGAAATGGACAAAGAAGTACTCGAAGTGGTCCTCAAGAAGTTGGAGAAGGAGTCAAGGATCGCCACTATTTTAGATCTCCAATCGGTATCGGCATTGCCCAAAGGAGAAAACTACACATCGACCATCATAAGGATAACTTTGAAAGTGGTCTTGGGCAATGGAAGGCTGGCTAAGAAGTCCTTCATCATGAAGCAGTTGATCACTAAAGGAGGAAGCGGAGATCTCGTAAAGGAGATCAATGCAGCGAAGTTGGAAAGCCAGGTAAGCATTGTATTGTATTACTGGAAAATAAACGAATCAATTTTATTTTTTTTAGTATTCACAATATAATACATTGTGTAAGTTTAACAAATGCTATTAGAAATGTGACCTGGTTTAAAATATTTTAATTTAATTGGGCTACACATACACTTTCCTTGTAGGAGGTAACGTACAGTGACGAAAAAAATATAAATATAGGCAATTTAATGCAATTTCTTACTAAATGTAATCTTTTAAATTGTTTCTAAGTTAAAAAAAAGTATTTAATATTTACCGAATCAAGCCAATGTCATTGTTTAAAACACTATTTCATTGAACTTGTGGGGAAGATGAAGTGAAATATAAAAATATTTCACTGATATGTTTATAACCTTAAATACATTTACTGTAGTTTAAAAACTCTATGATATTATATTTAAATGATTAGGTATCTATCGGCCGTTTATTCTAAAAATCATCAAGTAAAATTTTCGAAAATAAAATTAGTAAATAATTTGATGAATTTTCCCTTTGTGAAATCCCAACATTATCCACTTGTAATAAGTGTGACAACTTCTGACCTATCTATGGTAGGCAATGAAAGTCTAGTAATTTCATTTTAGAAAAAACTTTACAATGGAAAATAACCAATATTATTACAATCCATAAGAATGACTAACTCTAAACAATTTTTTATTTTTAGTGATGTTTCTAGTGTTCAACTTTATACCTTTATTGACAGTTTTTGTTTCAACACTGTTATCAACTACTATGGAATCTACTTACTCACTATCTGTATAGATAACTTTTCAAACTAGAAATATCACTAAAATGACATCACTCAAATAATTTTGAAATTGGAGTTAGCCTGTCAAATGAAAGGCTCAAATACTGAATTTATGTGGTTTATAAAAGAAGACGGAGTAATTAGATTTTTATTGAGTACCATCGATATAATAAGTAGACTTTTTGTAATTTTAATGGTCTTAATTTTTTGTTATCTGTAAGATTTAAGCTTTAACTCTGCTTAAACTGCACTTCAAACATTTTATAATAGCCCAGAATTGCCAGAAAATAATTTTTATTCAAAGCAGAGCTGTATGTGAAAGTTATGTGATGCGCGCACCAGATTTTTAAAATAGTTTTTAAAATTTTACCAAGTATTCAAATAAACTGTCGCAGGTCGGATTAGGAGTGTTTTTAGGGCGGAACTGGACCGCGGGCGGTAGTTTGAAGACCACTGGCGTATTCGATCAAATCTTCATGCAGGAGGAGATCGAGAGGTCAAGAGGCCTCAAGTCAGATCTAAACAGCCTCGTGAGACACTTGCTTATACTCTTTGGTGACCCGTAGCAGCATTCGCAACGAAAGAATCAGGGAGGAATTGGGAGTTCCCCCGATGAAGGATGTCCTAAAGACTGGTTTGGGCATTTCTTCAGGATGGAAGAGCACAGGGTACCAACCATTAAAGTCTATGGACTATGTCCCCGATGGTAGAAGACCCCCGCGGCAGACCGAGGATGTCGTACCTCGAATACCGTCGAAGACCGTCTGTACAAAAACAGAAATAAGAATATACGCCAAGCCAGAAATCTTGGAAGAATCAGAGAAAATTGGCAATCCTGGTTAGACGCTGACCTACGCTGAAAGGCACTACAGGGTGATGCAAAAGAAGAAGGAAACTCGTAGCAGAGTTGCCCTATGGGTGGATGCCGACATCTTCGATTGGTTAGCAGCTACAAGTTCCAGAGGAGGATGCATGCCCAATGACATTCCCTGGTAAATGGATTGGGTCGCTAAGTATCCAAGACCACAGAAAGTGCTACCAATATATCTGAATCAAAAAAAATTTTTTGGGTCCTCCTTTTCCTCGCCTTCAAGGCTATCAACGAGGTTTCCCCTGACCAGGTGGTGTGGGTGGGGATTCAAAAGACTCTCCCGGCAACGGAACGCGAACTCGTGACTATTTTAAATCCATTGTCTCTATATCAGGTTACCATTGTCTCTATAACAGCGGTGCTGTGAACACACGTTAGCCCAATCGGCCAACCCGCCCACACTAGATGAATCTACCTGAGATGGGGAGGATTCCCTGTCAATCTTATTCCCAAGTATTCCATGATCGTCTCTTCCTGGATCTCCAAGTCGGTAGGATGTGCCCTTTAAGTCAAGCCGCTTAAAAAGATTACTTGGATTTTGATAACAGCCATTGGCAACTTCAAGCTAGCACATCATCAAGTTGGCGCATGTTTCTGTTTCTTGCCACCGCTATTCTTCTAGTACACACAAAGGTCAAGAACTAAGTTTCAACAAGCAGGAACAGAGCAGTGTGGACATGACTTCTGGGTGGTTCTCCTAATCTTGTAGAAACTACCTCTAACACTTACGAGTATTTGATGCCTAGAGATAGATTCTTAGTAAGTGAAATTGATATCACTGAGGATATCACATCTCTGTAACTGCTGGAGTTCGCGAAAACAGATGATCAAAGTAACATCATGATTTACCGCTTCCTTCATTCTTCAACGACTGCGTAATCTTGCGTTACTTTATCCTTGTAGAATCCGAATTGCCGTGGATAGCTTGTTATAAACTATTTCTGATATAAATTACTTGCTTAATAAATATGACAATACACAATTTAGATTAATATTTCACTTTCAGATTTATTCTGTAGTACACAAAGAAATGACCTATCTCATGGAAGAATTCGAAGACACGGATGAAACTCTTTGGTGTAAATTCATTCACTATGACCCGCACTTATCTAATATCGTGCTTGAAGACCTAAAGGTAAGTGACATTATCTCTCTCGTAATGAAGTAATATAAACTTAAAACTAATTTGTGAATTGTTCTAAAGTGTTTCTTCTTCTATTTAGGCAAGTGGTTACAGTTTGGTTCCAAGACAGAAAGGTTTGGATTTGGACCATGCCATCCTCGTTCTCAATAGTTTAGGAAGGTACCACGGGATGGCAAAGGTACTCGAACAGAGGGGAATCATCTCCAAAGAAAACTACACTCCTTATGTTTTTTTTACCAACGTAAAATATATCAAAAGCTTCAGTTACGCAAGCATTTTAAATCTTTCTAATGTTATGCAGAAGTACTGGGGCCCTGAATGGTAAGCTCTAGAATCTATAATTATGGACGTATTATTAGTAACAGCAAGTTTGATAATAACAATTTTTATAGCAATGATTTTAGTAACGAATTCATAATAAAAGGATTTTCTGAAAAATTAAGATGGATTTACCCTGAGCAAGTTTCGACTTAAGTGTATTATTAGGTTGCAAAAAATTATTTTTTTGTTTTGTAACATAAATTTGTTTCTCTAACTGGTTTTGAAGTTATATAGTCCTCGAGTAAGGGATTAACTCTTTTTCCCTCAATTTCTTTAAAGATGTGATAGGACAAACACCATAATATATTACACAATATCTAGTTCTTAGTTTTTTTTTTTTTTTTAGATTAGATGCTTGCATGAATTAGAACTATTCAATTGTAGAATGAATTTAATTAGCTTTTATAAATGTGTGTGTATAAAAATAGGGTGAAGATAAATTTGATATCATTGTTTTAGGCACCCACGTCACGCCACGGTAACATTATACTTTTCATTATAATTACGTTTTGGAATAGATAATGATAGACATTATGAATATATTATTATCATTTAGTATTAATTTATATGAATATAGCTGGCTAATTGTTCTTCAACCATACAAAAAAAAAGTAAAAAAAATTATAAGGAAGCAAAGAAAATATTTGACCACGATTTCACTTTATGTATACTTGGTGTGCCCCAGGAAGGTCCCAATATACTGTTCGCTAAATCCTTCATCAAGAAATAATAATAAATACTTCAAAATACTTTTACACCAAGCCGAATTGCGTGAACTGTATCCGTTTAATATAATTGAGGCGATTAAATCACCGTGAATTAAGTGGGTTGTAAAACTGTTGGACTTAGTACCGAAAGAATCTCAAAAAAATAATATTTGCTGTGCCAATTCGTTAACGTCCGAGAGGTGAACCGAAGCGAAAGTGAGAAGATTGAGTAAAGCCATAACCGCAAGGTGGTTTAGGCATAAACCTTCGGGTTCATTAAGCCATTAATTATTATTATAAAATTGTATTCCATATCAAAAAGAACAATGATGAACAAATATGCTACTTTCCAGGGAGGAGACTGCAAAGAAACTGAAGACGATACCATTCGATCCATTTGTTAACAAAATGCTCAGCATGGGATCGGTTAATACTGAGACCAATTTTACAGTTCTCAACCACGGCGATGTCTGGTCTAACAATATGATGTTCAAATATGACTTTCAGAACCGACCTATCGCAATGAAGTGAGTATAAACATATGTATTTATTTGTAAGAATCTTGTAAGTGAACATTCGCCTTTTTCGGATTACCATCCTTTTCAGAATGTCTTCCACCTCCACCAGCTATCATAGGCGTGGTCTCAACCTCTGTCATGTCTTCCACAAAGTCGATCCTAAAGCAGAAGGTTAAGAATTGACTCTCTGACTATAACGAACCACCTGATTTGGTTACCTCTCACCAACTAAGGCCTCGTATGGATCTTACAAAGGTCGTTATTGGTGCGAATTCTCCACTGTCCATGTTCACACACCCATAGATCCTGCGGAGAATCCTTGTCTCCCAGGCGAGTAGTTTACTTCTAAAGCTTTCGAAATCATCCAAGTCACATTGCTGGATATCTGAGGCTCCTGAATGCTCCTTCGACAAAGTCCGTTCTAAGTTCAGATCACCGTGTTTGATATGTAATACGAGTGAGGCGTTACATTTCGGTCTTTGTTTACCCTTCCACAAAGGTAAGTTACTATCTCACTCGGGCTGATCCTTTGACCTTCTTTTCATTTTGATGACGTGTGCAATATCGGTCTAGTTCTTCAAGAGTAACTTGTGTATTCTCAGCAGCCATTCTCGCCTTCTTTCTCTCTCAACATCTAGATTCCAAGTTGGCGCATCGCCCCTTAGATTCTCGCTCTTGTTGTTTTTGTTTTGGTACTCCCTTTTCCCGCCCTTCAGAATATACATGGTTTTGCCAGGCTAGGGGGAAGTGAGCAGGATTAATACCAGAGGTATTAGTCTCCCTTCAGGCAATGCACGTTGCAGTGAACACACAGTCTCTCCCCTTTCGACCACCCCGCTAGCAGCCTCTATAGATTTAGATTTATTTTGTGTCTGAATCACGGAACGTATCTCGATCTTCCTACTGTATATAGAATAGGTTGGTTACCTGTAACTCCCTAATATGCCATAAATATCCAGAAAACGGTGGTGGGCGGAGGATTGGAGAAGAAGACATGAAGGATTTCACTATATCAAAAGATACTTTAGGATTTAAATATATAATCGGAAGTCTGTGGGCGTTGAATCATTGAGAAAAGGAGATATGAATTGATGAGACGTTCCAAATTTAAGGTTATATATTTCGAAGTAAATATCATCTCATAACATCAACTTAATTAAGATCAAAACTAATATTTGTCCTTAAACCCTAAATATAAAATATCCTTCGACCTTTACCTTCTTCTAATTTCTATTCCCTTCTCATCTCTTGTCTCTAGTTTCGGTACCGATCCTATTTGATATATAATCAAAGAACATACATTATATTATATTATATTATACAAGAACATACATTAATTACATAATCTTTTTCAGATTTTTGGACTACCAAATACCTCACTATAGCACACCATGCATAGATGTTACCTATTTCATGTACCTCGGTACCCAGCCTGCAGTTCGTCGAAGCAACTACGAACTCCTGGTGAAGACTTACCACGACTCCTTGGTCAGAACTTTGGACAAGTTCGGTTTCACTGGTACCAAGCCAACTCTTGAAGATATAACCGATACAATGAAGCGACTCGAGTTCTTCGGATTGTGTTTTTTTGTTGAAGCATACGCTTCTCTCGTTTGTTCATCGACAGAAGCTTTTGACATTGATAAAATTCTATCAACTGAGGGACAAGAAGGGTATAATGAAGAAGTTTTAAGAGAGCCTGGAATGATTAAAACCTTGGGGCCAGATATCATTGATTTTGTCGAGAGGCATATTATTGGGCTAAATTAAGGAATTATCATTATATTCATTCATTAATTGGAAAAATATAAAATCATGTAGTTATGTGTATTTATAAAAATACAAATTTTGATAAATTAAGCTAGCTATTATATATATCAGAGGCCCAAAAAGTTTTTTATGTCACCATGTAATAATCTTTCAGACGTGAATGTAATGATGTAATAATGTGATGTAAATGTAAATTATAAAAAGTATTTTAGTGTGTTAAGTAATTTATAAAATGATATTTGTAAATTATATCTAGCATTAAATGATTGATTTATTTGTTGATAATTAATAATAGATGGAATATCCTTTATCCATTTCAATTCACTAATACTTTAATAACATACTAAATGATTTTATGATAGATGTTGTAGTTTACATGCCCTGTACGAGATACAGAGCATTGAGTGTTGAAATATTTTTGAAGTTTTGTGGTACAATTTAAAAAAAAAATAGTGAGCATTAAGGAGACATTCATTTCCCCACAAAACAATGACCTCAAACACAGAGCTAACAAAACAAAAGAATAAATGTTCTACAACGTTCTCAACCAATTGTAAACTCCACCACAGTCTTTGGACATAAATGCATACCCTCCTGTATCCGTTAGACCTGAAATTAAAAAATAAAAACTATGTTGGAAGAAAATAGTTTGAAGAATGTAATACCGCAAAAAAATTGGGACAACTTGTTTCATTATTGCTAAGAAGAGCAGACTGTGGTCACAGTTGGTTAGAGGTGCTAAATTGGTGACTAAATATTATTGGTATTTATTCGAAAAATAACCTTAATTTATAAATTAATATATATATATATATATATATATATATATATATATATATATATATATATATATATATATATACTGATCTAAAATGAAAAGGGATATTCTATTTGATATTTATTTTATTTGTTTTAATTAAAGTATCCTATATTTTTTGGTTCGTTCGGGAATTCGTTGGGAATTAGGGATTGATACATAAAAAGCAAACAACCAGTATTCTTTATTTTTACTAAATTATTAACTGAAGGATAGTCAATACGATAAATACTCATTTTGAAAACCAACAGTTGTTTTCGACTTTTCTCAATTTTAATCTAGTAATATTCTATTTAACGAAGGAAAGACATCATATTGAATCAGAGGTTTCTATAATGTCGTGAGAATAAGCGGTCAAGGCCACGGCATTGTCCAGTCAATGAATGATGATAGAAGGAAATGGCAGGGACACAATTTTTGTCTTTAGGACATTAATAGGAATAGTAATAAGGTAAATATACTAAAAGCCCCATCCTAGGTGGACAGAACAGATCTCGGAAAAAAAGCCTAGATCACCTTTTTTTGGATTTTCGCTTATATCAGCAAAACTATTCATCGCATCGACAAAGACGCTCTAAACAAAATTAAAGCTGATAAAATTTAATTGATGATAATAGAAATAGAACGACAGGAAATTTGTTGCCTACAAATGTTGCCTCCTTTATATTCTCACGCTCCAGTTCTATTACCGGCCCTATTTCATACATTAAATTATCAAGATAATACATTGATTACATAATCTTTTTCAGCTTTTTGGACTACTAAATACTTCACTATAGCACACCAGGCATAGATGGAACCTATTTCATGTGCCTCAGCATCCAGCCTCCAGTTCGTCGAAGCAACTACGAACTCCTGCTGAAGACTTACCACGACTCCTTGGTCAGAACTTTGGACAAGTTCGGTTTCACTGGTACCAAGCCAACTCTTGAAAATATAACCGATACAATGAAGCGACTTGAGTTCTTCGGACTGGGTTTCTTTGTAGGAATGTACTCTTCTATCATTTGTTCATCGACAAAAGATTTTGACATTGATAAACTTTTAATTAGTGACGGAGAAGAAGATTTCAATGAAGACTTTGTAAGAGATCCTGGAATGATTGAAAGCTTGGGGCTATCTAAACAAAAAAATCGTCGCAGTAAGCTAGCGACAGTGGCCCCGTGACCTTTTTTTTTTTGATTATTGAAATTTACAATCTGTCTCAATAAAGGACATTTATAATAGAGTTCTGAGAGCACATTCACACCATATTTACAAATTAAAAAAAAAAAAAAAATAAAAAAAAATAAGCTAACTTCAAATAATATAAAGCTACAAAAGAACAAAATAAAATATCATGGTGAAAAAAAAAAGTAATGAAAATAAACATCTTAGATGCAGGCATACCTATTTACACTTTTTACAGTCGGCCATAGGAACTCCGAACCATACTTATCCCCCCACACGTGGAGGGAAAGCAAGGCTTCAGGAGATCCCTGCGCTTCTTCCCCAACTATTTCACTGGCATTGAAAGCCAGCGGAGATTGAGTAAGGGCGCTACAACCACGGACACTCATAACTTGAGTGGAGAATCTGGCCATTGCCAGAACTCCAATATATACATGTGACCTTTTGTAACATAAATATATTGGAGTTCTGGCAATGGCCATATTCTTCACTCAAGTCATGAGTGTCTGTGGTTGTAATGCCCTTACTAAGCCTCCGCTGGCTTATAATACCAGTAGAGTGGTTGAGGGAGAAGAGCAGGGATCTCCTGAAGCCTCACTTTTCCCTCCACTAGTGGTGAGGACAAGTCTGGTTCGGCGTTCCCATGGCTGATTGTAAATACTGTAAATAGGTATACCTGCGTCTAAGATGTTAATTTTGATTACATTTTTTTTTTAAAGAACATTTTAATTATATTTTCTTTATTAATTATTACTTTATTATTACTATTATTTATATTTTCTTAGCTCATTATGATATTTTATTTTGTTCTTATTTTATTATTTTGAAATTACCTTATTTATTTTTTGATTTTGTAAATATGGTGTGAATATGTTCGGAACTTTATTATAAATGTCCTTTATTGAGACAGATTGTAATATTTATCAATAAACAAGTAATCTATTGAAAAATATAGAAAATCATGTGGTTGGTTATGTGGAGTTATATAAATGTAAATTTTTATAAATTATCTAAACAAGGTCCTTAAACTTATTCAATATGTCAACCGGATCGGTCAGAATATTGTTAATTTCATCCCTAATTCCAGACGTTACGGGCCCTACACATTTACGTGATCTGTTTATACCTTTGTACATGTCTCTTACGTTATTTTCGATTCTATTAGTTTCTATTTCAATTATTTTGTTTTTAAGATACTCCCTTTTTTTATTTTTGAGCAATTTTGTCGTTTCGTTCTTTGAGGTTCGTAAGTATTCCAGATTGTCTTCGCTAAGATTATTTAGAGCTTTTTATTTAGCGGCTTTTCTTTTTTCGCACATGTTTAAGCAATCTTCATTAAACCACGGTTTTTATTCTTATTTTCCTTTTTCCCTAGACACGAGTTACCGACCGCTTTAATATTATCCCTGATCTCTAACCCTAACTTGTCAATATCCTCGTGGTCCTCGTCAGGAAGCTCTAAAGCTTCAAACTTATTCTTAACATCTAGCTCAAATTGGGTTCTAATTGATTGATGCTTTAATTTTTCCAAATTAAATTAAATTAAATTTTAAATTTAAATTATTAAAAAATTATTATAAATTAAAATTAAATTTAAAAAGGTTGACATATTGAATAAGTTTAAGGACCACTTTGACAATATTTTAAATACGGGAAATTATGATCTGTGTCCTCCTTCTGAGTTCCAGAGTGGTGAACCGTTAATAGAAGGACCAAGTAAAGAGGAAGTTGAAGTAGCTATCGGAAAATTAAAATCTTATAAAGCAGCGGGAACCGATAATATTCCTACTGAACTAATTAAGGCATGCGGGGAAGCTGGAGTTACTAAAATACATCGGTTGGTTAAAAAGATCTGGGTGAACGAGAAATTACCTGAAGAATGGAAAGAATCTATTCTTATTCGAATTCACAAAAAGGGTCCGAGGACGGATTGTAATAACTATGGAGGAATTTCACTCCTTCCGGTATGTTATAAAATATTCACTTTAATCTTAACCAGTCGAATCACAGAATACGCCGAGGAAATTATCGGAGACTACCAATGCGGATTTAGACGGAATCGTTCGACTATCGATCAAATATTTTCTTTACGGCAAATATTAGAGAAAAAATTGGAGTACAACGGTATTGTTCACCAGCTGTATATAGATTTTAAAAAGGCTTACGATTCTATTGACCGCCAGAAACTGTATAATATTCTAATCCAGCAGAGGATTCCAAAAAACTTGTAAATCTAGTCAGGCTGTGCTTTTTTTTTTTTTTTTTTTTTTTTTGTTCTTCCCTACCTCGCCTTTTAGGCTATACGGGATTTTCCCGGGCCGGGGGGTGAGGGCGGGGAAATTTACAATCTCCTCCGGCACCGGGACGCGAACTCGTACTTTTTATATCATCTCAAATCTCTGTTATCCGGTTGCCAGGCAACTAGCGGTGCTGTTACACACGCTTTAGCCTATTCGGCCACCCCGCCCCCTAGTCAGGCTGTGCTTGACGGAGACACTCAGTAAAGTTAGAATCGGTAATAATCTGTTCGAAAAATTTGAGGTTCGCTCGGGTTTAAAACAGGGGGATTCCCTTTCGCCTGTACTGTTCAATTTGGCATTAGAACATGCCATTAGGGAGGTAATGCGAACCGAGAAAGGGTTGGATCTGGGTGGGACAACATCCGTGCTGGGCTATGCTGATGATGTGGTACTGTTAAGCGATGACGTGGAAACTATAAAACTAAATACGACAACGTTAATCAAAGCCGGTAAGAAACTAGGACTCGAAATAAACGTGGATAAAACAAAATATATGGTTAGCTGCAAAAATGGCGATACTACTGGTGATATCCATATAGATGGTAATACATTTGACCAGGTAGATAAATTTAGGTATCTAGGTTTTACGATAACTAGAAAAAACGAAATTGAAGAAGAGATTAAGGTTAGACTGAAGGCGTGAAATGCTTGTTATTTTTCTTTGACAAAACTACTCAGTTCGCGCCTCTTGTCCCGGAACTTAAAAATTAGAGTCTATAAAACAATTATCTTGCCTACAGTTCTTTATGGATGCGAAACTTGGCCGCTTACATTAAGGAATGAGCAGCATCTTAAGGTTTTTGAAAATAAAGTATTGCGTAGAATATTTGGACTGAAGAAGGATGAGTTAACCGGAGAGTTCAGACGGTCACACAACGCCGAATTGCGTGAACTGTAATATAATTGAGGTAATTTCATCGCGGCGAATCAAATGGGCTTGTAAAGTTGTTGGGCTTAGTAACGAGAGAATTCCTAAAAAGTTAATATTTGCTGTGCCGAATGG